CATCATCAACCAAATTTCTAGTAAAGTGGCATAGCATGCTAGTACGATTAAGAGAATGTTGAACAGAATATTTGGAAACATTAGCCGCATAGGTAAGGTCAAAGAAAAGGTCAATGGCTTGTACCTCAGTTCCAAATTTAAGAAAAATGTGCTTCATCCACACCTTTTCTGAACAACAAGTTTCAGCTACAAAATTCTGATCGGTGTAAGAACATCCGTCAGACGTACTCCATTGAACAGCAACATTCTCATCCCTATCAGCATCACAATCTCTAATAATACCAGAACTCGTATCACATGAGTCAAAAGTCATATAATCAATCAAATAGCAATTATCATGTGATCTAGACCCTGTAAGAACACAATTATTATTCCTATCTGAAACCAAACATTCATTCAAGGTGAAACTCACAGAAAAGTGTTGATCACATAATTGACTCACACTCAGCAAATTCGCTTTCAAATTTTCAACAAGAAGAACATTTTGAAGTTTGGGCAATCCAGGAACATTCAAACATCCTATACCGAGAACTCTATTCATAACACCATCACCAAAGGTCACAAAACTAGAAGGAACAGGCAAAATATTAATCAAGTTAGATTTTAGACCTGTCATATGACGAGAACAACCACTGTCAAAATACCAATCAGAATTAGAGGTGGATTTCAATGCAAGTATAGAAGATAAGCAAACGTTCTTACTGCCTTTAGGAACCCAAATCTTTTTCTGTTCATGATTAACCCCATCAACCTTTAGTTTAGGTGCTTTCAAGGGTACACCATATGGACTTCATTCATCAATTCGACCAGTATAAATATCATTATGCATCCTATAACACTTAGGGCGAATATGACCACGGATACCACAATAGTGACAAACAGGCACAAAGTTCTTACCAGAGTTCTTATGCTGAATTTTAGTAGAGTTAGGCTTACCATTCTTACCATCAATGCTGTAACCTTCTTTGACAAAGGTCAGGTCTGACTTACTCAGAGATGTGCTAGGTTCGCCTACTTTACCTTTCAGTTTTTGATCATGAGCGTTCTTACTCTGGTCTGAAGTACCTATTTGTTGACTCATCCTTTGAACTTCAGCAAATGAGGACTTGGGCTTGTTGATCATCTTGACAATCTCCTCACTTTTGCTGAGTTTCTCCTCCATTGTAGAACAATAACTCTTGAGCGTTACATGTTCTTCCATCACTCGACCGAGTTCTCTTTTGAGTGCAACAATCTCGGATTCCCTTTCATCTATAGTTTTCTGCAAGACAAACATTTCATTACGTAGAGACTCAATGATAAAAACCTTTTCATCACATACCTGCTTGGACAACTTCTGTTCATGTTCTAACATCGTGATTTTGGCAACAAATTCGTCCAGCTTATGTTCCTCCTTGCTGGTATGAACATCAGATCTGGTCAGCTTATCATTCAGTTCGTCATTCATCATGCGACTTTTCTGAAGTTCATCCTTCAAGTAGGTGATCTCCTTCTCATGCTCTGCAGAACGATGTTGGAACACCTCGACTTGAGCTTGTAGCTTTTTCACAATTTTTCCAGCTTTGATGCTCGTCTCTAATGCAAGCTTATGGGTAGCCAAATCTACTTCAACATAACCATCTCCAGAATAATCAGAATCACTATGAGAATTATACGTGTAAGAACACATACCTGAATCGGCATCACAAGCCTTATGAGAGGCTGTATAACACGTGAAGTTATTGAGAGAAGTGACGGCAAATTTGTTCGTGTGTTGCTGGTCATCATCGTCTTCATCATCATCCCACGTGGCTCGATAGGTTTTGTTCTTCCTCGTGAAATTCGGACAGTCTTTCTGGAAGTGTCCAAATCCCTTGCATTCACGGCATTGGTTCTTCTCTACATCTTGATTCTGAGTCTTCTGAGAATGTGAGTTGGAACGTCGTTCACCAGACTGCTGATTGATGTTCTTACTGAAGTCAGTAGGCTTCTTCCCTTGGAACTCCTTTTTCTTCTTTAACTGAGAGAAGTGGCGTGTAAGAACATCCAAAGCCTTAGCAATACTTTCAGCATCAAGAGACTCATCATCAGAATCCTCTTCGTCTTCAGCCTGTGTTGGAACATTGGCTTTCAGGGCTAAGCCTTTGCTTATTCCCATCTTATCATAACCACGATTGATTTCAAAAGTTCGAAGTTCTCCAAGTAAGTCATCGAGACCAAGAGGCTCGACTCGCTGAAAGCTCTCAAGTGCGGTGATCTTTTCACGGAATCGTTTGGCAAGGGTCCTCATGATCTTTTGCACTTGCCTCGCCTCAGAAATTTCCTCACCAAGCATGGCACTTTGGTTAACGAGATCACAAAAACGTGCATAGTACCTATCAATATTTTCATCATCCTTCATGCGAATAGTGTCGAACTCCGTGGAAATCATTTGGAGCTTGGAAGACTTCACGGCGTTGGTACCCTCAAATTGCCTCTCAAGAATCTTCCATGCGTCGCGAGCTGTTGTGCACTGGATGATCATCTTATGGCGAGTTGGATCCACAGCAGACATGATAGCATATAATGCACGAAAGTTTGCTTCTTCTGCTTGTCTTTCAACATCAGTCCAAAGATCCCTTGGTTTCTCGACTAGAACATGAGCAGCCGAGGTTGATGACTTTGATTCCGAGGGAGCTTTCGGCATGAGTGGTGTGGTCCAGCCTGACTCAATGACTTGCCAGGTTCCTTTACCCAAAGAGCGAATAAATATCACCATCATGGATTTCCAGTATCCATAGTTAGAACCGTCGAGGTACGGAGGGCGCGAAACGGACATGCCGTCGTGAATCATGGTGACCAATCACAGTCCCAAAGATCTTTATCCCGTATGTAGAACAGGAACACTGCTCTGGTGCCAATTGAAACGTAGGTATTTTGTAACGAGTGCGCTCAACTTGTAGTACGAACTAAAACAAAAATTATAAAATGCGGAAGCAATAAATCGAAGATTTAAAAACTCTTCAGGGAAGCGTCCCACTTCCCCTCAGAGCTCTTTCATTGATAAACCGTTTGTGCACACTTGTATAGTTTGGACTTACACGACTCGAACTCCCTTCTAGCCTAGCCACAACTACACACGATTCTATCAACTACTTCTCCGACCACGTCCCGTGGATTTTACCTCTCGAATCCCTCGAGCTAAAGACAATACTTAATCCCTAAGCACTGATCACACAAGTGTTTGAATGAAAAACAAAGAAAAGAAAACAAAACAGACTTCAGTTCTTCGATGACGTAAGAACACCGAAAACTGACCAACGAAAATAAGACACAGAAAACTTGCAGCTCGAATATGGAATAGAATATGATGCTCTCTACACCCCAAATTCGAGCTTTAAGTGGGTATATATACAGCCTCCTTAGGGTTGGAGTCTTCTCCAAGTATAGGACTCCTTTTGTTTTTGATTTCCTTCCAAGTTTATCCAAAGAGATATGGTAGGTGTAGATCTCTATCTTCTCTTTCCTTCTTATATGATTTCCTACAAAATATATCTATAATAAGATCATGCAAATATATATGTATATAAATCGAATATATAAATATAAATATATTCGAATATATAAATATAAATTAAATAAAAGAACTTCCCTTTTTATTTCTCATGCTTGCAAGAATATATCTTCACTTATATTAATTTTTGAACTTCATTGCCAAAAATATAACTCTTTCAATAATAATAATAATAATAATAATATTTAAGATAGTTAATAGGACATGATCTCTAAAATTTATAAAAACTACTTATCTTTTTAATTTTATGCAATCAATATAGTGATGAAATTGAATGTTTTTATAATGTTCATTTTTATTAATGACAAAATTTTTAAATTTGATACTATTATCTAACTTATAATTCTAATACTATAAACAACTTACAATAGTTTAAACATTTATGCATGCGCACAAATTGAATAATAGTCTTATTCAAGAGTCATGCCAACTTGAGGTAAATAAATACAGACAGATATATAGTTTTTCAAAGAGTCATGTTTCACTTAAAAATATTCCCCCAATTCTCCCGAAAGATGAAACAGTAAACCCTTCTTCTTACTTTAATTTGTCCAAGTACGTCGACATAGCTCTGGCTGCTTTTCAGCCTCTCTCTCCGTGATGTGGATTTCGACACTTCCGATTTGCCATGGCGGGAGTTTGACGGCTGGAAGGTCCGGTTCTCTTGCAGCGGCGGTCGTCTCTAGCGACAGTCAGGGCCATGGATTGATCTTTGGTTTCCCCTTGTTTCGACCTTCTCTATTGTTGAGAATGTCGTTTCCTCCAGAGGCGACGGTGGTGTTGCCTTGGTTCTGGAGTGCGCGCGGGGGGATGGGGTGCGGTCTGGCCGGGTCAAGTTTGGGTTTGCCAGGAGAGATTGTGTTCAGCCGTGGGCTGAGCGACTTCTTCTTGGTGGATCTCGTTAGGAGTTGGTTCGGGTTGTGGAGGGGCTAGGTGTTCCTGGCCGGAAGGGAGGGAGAGCTTTAGTTTAGTATTTAGGGTGTTGCGTATGTTTAGTTTTGCTTGTGTTGTTTTGTGTTTGTATTTCCTTTCTCCTGTGTGGGAATTTGCTTTCTCCACTGGTGGGAGGTTTCTTTGGTCTAGCGTTGCTAGTTTGGTTAGTGTTGTTTAGGCTTCCAGGCTAGAGTCTGCTCGACTCGTAGGCTTCTCTGTTTAGCCTTTGGTTGTTTCTTTTGCACATTTGGCCACTTGTCTTTTTTG